AACGTTGCTATGAACGAAAATAATTTGGAGAATTCCATCATTTTTCGCTGATATCCCACAACGACTTTCTTTCATATATAAGAGTTATTAGTTTTTCAACATCCATATCAATTTGGTGTCACAAAAATTTTCGCTATTCAATCAGAAACACTGCGAACCTGCGAACAAATCCCATTTACATCCCAGAGTTCAAATAATCTTTTGATATTTTTGTCTTTTTTATAACATTTTGAACCAGTTATAGTTTTTGCGCAAAAAAGTGATTTCTGTCTCTTGGCAACTGAAAATTTTAGACATTCATTAAGTTTTTCATTAACAAAACATTCGTCAGGGCCAAATTTTGTTAAAAACTCGCTTTTTCTTTTCGTGAGATTTTTTATGATCGCAATTTGGACAAACCCGCTTCCAAAAGACGACCGGGCCTAAAACTTTGACCATTTCGGTCAGTTAAAAAATATAAAACGTTTGACAGTTAATTTATTATAAAAACACATTACCACTTACTACGACTGTTGCAGTTAATGTTTGAAATTGATAAATAGCAAGAAAACAGAAATAATTTTTTGGCGCAAAAACTATGAATGCTACAAGATTTTATAGAGCCCAAAAATGGTTCAAACGAATTAGTGCATCAACTCAAAAAATCAATTGATTGAGATTCAAAAGCCGTAAGAAATATCGAGAAAACAAGGCATACCTGTTTCGAAGAAAAAAATGGGTCTATCGAACTGCTTGATCATATCCCTAATTTTGGCAACACCGTTAAATTTGTACTCATTACAAAAGTTAGTTTTGACCGTACCTCTACAATAACAAGATTTCAGATAAATTTCCAATTCAAAAAGACGAGTATCTATGAGCTACGTTTGCTGCAAAAATTTCAAGAACGGCTAATAAACGGTGTAATAACCAAGAATAAAATTTATTTTTCAACTTGTCACCCATAATTCGATAAGGAAGCCAGATCTATCTTAATTTTTGTTCATTAAATATTTACTTCAAAAATAACAGAAAGGATTTTTGTTTAACACCCATTCTTCAACTTCTGTTTTATCTATCGCATCACCAGCACGATTCATTCTGTTCACTAATTCGACTAGATCAATTCACTCAATCAATTTTGATTCAATCAATCAAAGACTAGATTCTTTTTGTAAATTACCCAGTCAGAGGTCTCAAAAGAAGTTGACCCTACGACTTTTTCACCAACATTGTAAAATGTTTTCATCTT